GATCACACCAAGCTATTCTTTGTGACAAATATTAGAAGTTATAGATACCATAACCTGCGTAACTAATACTAAAATAGTAATCGTATATTAAAAGATAGTGTATATACCTTTTCTTTTTTTTTCTCGACAGGGAAATAAATGAGTATTCTTATTAATATTTCTAATCTAATGCTATTTGATCTATCATAGAAAGATTAATTTTATCATTAATTAGTAAACACATTTGTAATTCAATGGAATTAAATTATTTTATATATATATAATATAAAATTAATATATAATTTATAATTTATAAAATAATTTTGAAATAATAGGATACATACATATTACATATATTAAAAATAATGTGTTAATATTATATGTATATATTTTATATATAAAATATGCATTGCTGTCATGCTTATTTCGATGTTATTCATTGACGGAATTATGCCGTCTAATGTAATTAATAAAATGAAAGAAAATAATTGATGAGTTATATATCGAAATTAAATAGAACCTTTGTATAATGATTTATAATTCTGAAACGTATAGGTACGCGCCATTTACGTTTCCCGAGTTTCTGGGTCATAGCTTTCACTTTCTTTCGTCGGTTCTTCCGCCCTTTAGACCGAAGCGCGACTGCGGCCCTTTTCGATCTTTTCTCTCACTTTCTCTTCTTATCTGTAGGTCCTTTTTCTCTTTTTTTCCCCTTTCTATTAGATTTTTATCATCATACAATAATGATCATGATTTAATATGACATAATGAAACACAGAGAGACTCGATCTCTTTATTCTTTCTTCAATGCGCGGATAGAAATAAAATCGCATATGTTGTACGATGTCCACGTCACAATCTACAATTATTTCCGATTTGCATTTGAAAGAACAAAGCGAAAAAATCAGTGTTCATCTGTGTTTCGATGCCGCACAACATTTGATATACAATATTATTTCTTTTATAAAAAAAATTCCGTCAAATAGGTTTTTTATCTTTTTTGTTATTATATTTGTTAATTTGTTATTATTATTACTTTAGTATATATAAATATAATATTTTTATTCAAACAGCCATCGTTAATAAATTTAATTTACTTAGTTGCATAAAAAATTAAGAAAAAATCAAAGAATGGAAAAGAAATTCAGCAGGCATCATTTCCGATAATTTTCGTACCATCACTTTTCCAATGAGTGATTAACAGAATAAATTTTCCTGCAAAGCTTTGTAATTAACATTTAGCTTCAAACACCATTTCTTGCTATCTTTTGCTATATTTTTACTTTCATCTTTCTTATACTATGACTTTTTTACATGCAATATGTATGTAATTCGTTAATTTGGTCGCAATTTGAATATACATGCTTCTTATTTGCTTTTAGTGTATCATATAATTAAGCATACGAATGTGAATATGGTTTATTTTTAAGCTGTTACGTAAGGTTCAATGATATATCTAATATTGTGCTCGAATCGAAAATCGATCATATTTCTGTTTCTATCTAAATGTTATATATATATTAGTATATATAATTGAAAATTACTATATAATAAATTCGTAAAAAAATTTCGATTATGATTTGATCACAATAAATTATATGGCCATGAATTTTAATTCAAAACAATCAGGCCGAATTTGAGAAAACATTAAAATACGCCTCATACACAATGCACCTAACTTCTAAACTCGGTGCACTCGATACAACGATGCAACGACACAACGATGACGACAATACGTTCGCAATACTTGCGCTATGTGCATCCATCGATGATACATCGCGTGTAACTACGCGCGTGCGCATATACATGCGTGTGCTATACGATTGCATATGGATACTGACACTCGTACATAAATGTATACGTTATTATAGGCAGGCGCGTACGATTACTTGGACGAAAAAGAGCGCGACAATTACGTTTGAAATATGTATATAAGCAGATATATTGAAATAGGTATTCGGATGGAAATAACGTTAGAGAAAGAAATGCGTATGATTAACATTTGTAAGATAGAGAAAAAATTATATTTATTAAGCATGATCAAAAAAAAAAAAACGATAGATCAAGAGTAAAAACGGAAAAGAGTGAGATAGAATTAGAGAAAGAATAAGAAATCTTAAAAAGAAGGAAGGAAGAAAAGAAAAAAGAAAAAGAAACGCGCATACGTTTAGGGTGACGGGTATATAAAGATGTAAGGACAGGGTCTGTAAGAGAGACAGAAGATAGGGTGGGATACGCGAAGTAAGTTAGTTCAGGGTGCGAGAAGGCAAAAGAGAAAGAGAGAGACAGACAGACAGGCAGACAGACAGAGACAGATATAATAAGAGGGAGTGAGTCGCGGCTGCGTCATGTTCTCAGCGAACTGGGTCAGTGGGTCTCCCCACTGCTTCGCGTCGTACATCTACTGCGACGTACACACAGAAAAGCACTGGCACTGTCGGGGAGTGCCAACGGCGTTACTGTTGACCCAGCCACGGCCTGTAGTGGCCTGTGCGCTTGCCCTGTGCCCGCTTACTATAGCTCTGTGTGTTGTTCCTTTCGTGCTTTTTGAAAGCAAGAGTTGTTCGCGGGCTCATGGCATCCGTTCGATCTTTACATAATATCTAATACGTATACAAAAACATTATGAAATAAATGATTTCTGCGATATTCTTATTTTCTTATTGATATATAATAAATTGTTTCCCAATAATTTGTTAATAATCACGTGCATTTAATCATTTCCTTGCTTGATTGTTAAACAAATTTTTCGATCATTGTTTTCGAAATATATCGCAAGGTATTTCGTTTTTGTCTACGAACAAAATCGATAGTAACGTATTATTATATCGATTCGTGATAGGAACTCGTGCGGATTTATAGTACACGTGCGTAGAGTAGTATTTGCCGGTAGCCTTAACGATAAATACGGTCGACAAAACGCGGCGGCAATAACGGACGGCAGACCGACGCGGGAGTGTACAGGGACAATACTTCTCCTGCCGACATAGACCTGGTTCCGTAAGTAGGTCATCCCCGCCATAGGCTTCACAACCTCCTCCCCTCCCCCGTCAATCCCTTCGACCACGGCAATACCTCCCCCATCCTCCTGTTCCTCTCTCGTTCGTCCCTCTCCTCCCGACCACCGCGTTATTGCCTATCCCCCACCAGCAATCGAACACTCAGAGGCACCTCCACTACTCTCCGTCGGGCACCTGGCCGCGCGCGGTGGCATGCGCTGCTGAATCACTTTCACTTATGCTGTGTACTGTGTTGGTTATACATACGCCGTACATCTCTCTCACTCTCGTGTTCTCACATTCGACCCGTGGCCGTCGGTAAAGGGACACGCGCGCGCTCTTTCTCTCCTCTCCTCTGTAGCCACCGAAACACCAAGGGAGCCTGACGGCAGTAGTGTGCGCACCTCTCGCCATTCTCCCAGTTCTGCCAATTTTATTTTATTCCCGACGGTGTCACGGTGAAGCGCGTATCTCTCTATACTGGGGCGAATCCGCGCCGCACCGAACCGCACCGAACGTCACCGTGTATCGTGTTGTACCGTAGTCATTTCGATTGTGTGTGCATCCAGTACTGCCGCCTCGCGCAAAGCGCATGCTGTGTTCGCGATAACGTGTGTGTTATTTTTATCGTCAAAAACATCAACAATACAATAACGTATATTCTATTTTATTGGGCAAAAGGAGGGAATAAATTAATAAAAATAAATTATACATGTTTTTCGAATATAATACCCGTAATCGCCGTTTTTGTTACTGTGATATATGTGACGTATGCCGTGTTTCACAAGATAGTCTTCTGATTCTACCTATTTCCATGTGTCGACAGTAGGGCGGTAGAGAAGAGGGGATAGGCCCTTCAGAAAAGCAACGAGACGAGAAGACAACTAGTCGTACGCAGATAGCTGAGTTGTCAAGTCGCATAGTCCGGGAAATGAAAGATTCTTTCTCTTTTCTATTCTCACTCTCTGTGTTTCTTTACTAGATTTGATGCATTCTTGTTTTTTTTAACGGATACATTACGAATACTCTTGGATTGCAGTGTGTGCGTGTTCACTCATATTCAGTTATTTTGTGTTAAACATCGTGATCAAACTTTGATTCGCGTCCGCGCATGTGTGATCACGCGATAACGCTACCGGTGATTCGCGTGCTCGATAGAACAACGATCCTATTGTTTTCTTCGCACTGTGATCCTAGTCAAAACGATTCTACACCTCGTGGCTTCAATACCAGTACGAACCTCGTGTGTGCTTATCCTTGTTTCGTTTCACATTAAGCTGGATTTATCAGTGATCACAACCAGAAACAGATAATAAAGAGAAACGTTATAGTGGTTTTTTGTTTCGAAAATAATACAAATGCCTCAGTGACAGTTGACAATTTTCTTTTTTTACGCAACATACGAAATCCACCTTTTATCATATTACGATGGTTCGGACGTAGTAACACGGTTGAAACAGGATTTATTTTTTGCGGTGGTGCGCGATGGCTTTCTTCATAAACGCGTGTCGTAGAAAAACGTGACTAGTGATCGATATTGTATGTGCCAAGAGAATACAGTGTATATTCTTTTTACGCTTATGCTTTTGATTACATCGTTTTCGTTATCGTCGTCGTCGCCGTCGTCGTCGCCGCCGCCGCCGCCGCCGCCGCCGCCGTCGTCGTCGTCGTCGTCGTCGTCGTCGTCGTCGTCGTCGTCGTCGTCGTCGTCGTCGTCGTCGTCGTCGTCGTCGTCGTCGTCGTCGACGCCGTCGTCGTCGTCGTCCTCGTCGTTATCGTCATTGTCGTCGTCGTCGTCGTCGTCATCGTTGTGGTTGTCGTCATATTCTCATCCTTATCGACAACGTACGCAACCTGTGATACTATAATATACGCAAGTATCACGATATTGCACGTCGTATACCATTACTGCTTCAAAATTAAAAAGAATAATCTATTAACCGTCGTTGTTCTGTCACATTACACGCCATTGGCAAATATAAAAAAAGAAAAGAAACGGAAAACATTTATCATTTACCACAGTGGTTAAGATTAGAAGAATTTACAATCAATTCATATATGAGCCAATACGCCACAAGCACGTTCCTCCGTGCAGTATTTGCGCAAGGGTGATATGTTATTGGAGATGGAGCAGCATTCGGGTCTGATATCCCTGAATATGTCGCCGTTCCATTTAAGCCCTCAGGGTAGTCCCCAAGGTGCGGCCAGTGCTGGTCAGCAACAGCAACAAGCGCAACAACAACAACAACCACAATACGGTTCTTCACCGTATGGGAATTGCGCTCAAAGTCCTCCTACAACGATGTGTCATCAATCACAGTCACAACAACAACCGCAACAACAGCAACAGTTGCCGGTACATAATCAGGCGCATTCGCAGGGTATTTCGAATTTCGACGCCGCGTTTTTCGACTCCACCGCCCTTGAAGAACGGTGTCCCATGTGCGGGGACAAAATGTCTGGTTATCAGTATGGTCTGCTTACATGTGAATCCTGTAAAGGTTTTTTCAAACGGAATAATTCACCGTGTAGCAGTAAAAAAGTATATACATGCCTATTTTCGCCAACGGGAGGTGGGGGAGGTGGGGGCAGCGGCGGTGGTGGTGGCGGAGGTGGCGGTGGTGGAAATGGTAACAACGGTAACAACGGTGGAACCGGTAGCTGTGGCGGCGGCGCATCATCGGCACTCGAGATCGGATCTTGCGGCAACAAGAAGGTGTACACGTGTCTGTTCTCGCCAACAGGAGCCGGAAGCGGCACTGGTGGCAGTGGAGGCAGCAATGGCGCGGCAAACGGTGCTGGAGGTGGTGGTTGCGGCACATCGACAGCCCTCGAGAGTAGCGGCAGCAATTATACCGGTGGCGGTGGTGCCGGTACCGGTGGTGGAGGAGGAACGGGTGGCGGCGGTGGTGCGGGTGCCGCTGGCGGTAGTGGGCCCACCGCAGGGAATGCCTCTGCTGGTGGTAGCGGTAGCGGTAGTGGTGCGGCCAGCGGTGCAAGTGGCGGCGGATCCGCTACGGTAAGCGGAAATGTCGCGATACCAACTACCACCTACTCATTACCAACTGGTACCCTCTGTCATCCCGGATTGGGTCAGGTCGGGGTTGGTGTCGTGACCGGCTCGATACCGTGTCCGTCCGAATTCCCCGATACCAAGGACATCATCATAGAAGAACTCTGTCCGGTCTGCGGCGACAAAGTTTCCGGATACCATTACGGGCTACTCACTTGTGAATCCTGCAAAGGTTTCTTCAAACGCACCGTCCAAAACAAAAAGGTCTACACGTGCGTCGCCGAGAGGTCCTGTCACATTGACAAAACGCAAAGAAAGCGGTGTCCCTACTGCCGTTTTCAGAAGTGCCTCGAAGTCGGCATGAAGCTTGAGGGTGAGTTTTTGTTCAATTGTGACGTCATTCTAGCGCGGCTATCTATCTTTTCTTACGCCTTTTCGTTATGCTTTGCAAAAGAACGTATGCGCACATATAATTTTTCGATAGCTGGCAACGGATCGATAAAATCTTTTTCTTTCTTCTCCTTTTTCTTTTTTCTTTTTTCTACTTTAAAAAAATTTTTTTGCAAAAATTACAAATTAAATAACGTGGAATGATCCGTAAAACAAATAACGATACAAAAATTTCATATTGTTACGCAAACCAGTTTTATTTGATCAACAATATGAGTGCTCATTTTTTTGGATGTGAAAGCGTTGCATGCGGGTATCATCGCGATTTTTATGCAGAAGAATTGAAAAGAAAGGAAAGATTGGAAATGTATATGCGACCAAATAGATTTCGATGTTCAATTATGCAACATAATCGTGGGACATGTGTGTTATTGCGTTTGCACATGTAATAGGTTTTGGAATCAAAAGTATATATATATATATATATATACATACTTGCGTTAATACGAATGACAAATTGAAATCTTAATAAAAGAAATATTATTTATCTTTTTAATATTTTCAATGCCAAATGTTACATAGTAATTTTTTAGAAATATTTTTAATTTTTAAATATATTTATTATTATAAATTTGAATTATTATTTTCATAATATTTTCCATTAATGTAATTGCTTTTATTGCTTCATTGAAAATATTCTTGATGTATATTCTTTCACACTATTATTGATGAATATTACCGCATTATTATTAATCTATATATTATCTCTTATTCAATATCTTTTTATAAATTTTGCGAAATATCAAAAATAATTTAGGCGCGAAAGCGTGAGGTTTGCATTTTCGGTATCGTACGGTTTCTTTCGGTAAACCTCGGTAAAATAAGTTTATGTTTGTGTTTTTTCGCATTACTCTTAACGTTGAACTTAAATCATATCATACATATGTAAAATATTCAAACAATATTGTTATCTTTCTTTATAAATTCTTTTGTCGCTTCAATATTTTAATTTTGGCAGGCACTTCTTTTATTTTTTTCATTTTTACATAAATATTATTCATATGACTCATGTTTCATTGCTAAATTTCAATAATATCATACGATTAAATTCATATTGAACAACCGATTAAGTAAAATCGTATTAACACTCATATATGCATAATAAAAAGATTTCTATAAAAATATAATTTTAGTAAAATATAGTTATCGTCAGTTTTTTAAACTAATGTATCGTCTCTTCAAGCTGCCTCTTTACAATCAGCTTTTGGTCCATTATCCATACGTGAATTAAATATATAAATTTTGCAGCTACATGTATAGTTAGGAAAACTATAATCGCTGTTTTCGGAATTTCTAATTTCATAAAATCTTTTTTAACACTTTGATAATGGTTAAATTAAGATGATTCAAATGAAGCGTTTAATGCAATACGAATAACTAGGTCTAGGCCCTCAAGGCCCAGCAATTAAGCGAATCTCGAAACAGGCTGTTGCAATTGCCGCCTTTGCACGCTGTTTTCTACGGCGTTCCTACAAACGGCAATGAGAATTGCTTAACGCGGAAAGTTTCCAAAGTGCTTGCGAATGTTTACGAAAGGAAACACTTTCTTACTTGCACGCTATTCAGAAATGTAAAAATGCCCGTTCAGAATATAAATATTATATCAATTAGGCGGAACAGATCGTTTGATTTTTTTTTGCTGTTCCAGTCAATCTTCACTTTGTTAAAAGTATATATATAGGTAATTTGACACATTATATTTTCTTATTTGGTATCAATATACATATATCAATATATGTATATCAATCATTAACAGTCAACAGTGTATGTACTTAACAATTTTTTTTGTCGATTTGTAATAGTTGTAACAGTTATATACATATATACATACAATCGATAATAAAAATTTCTCGATTGTAATCACTGTTACACTATCATTATAACATTATAATATTTCTTACCATTTATTTACACTTTATATTTCTTTTTAATAAATGAAATATATATAACTTGTGAATTTATATTCGGACATATATCTTTCGTTTCATACTTTCGATACTTAAAAAAAAAAAAAAAGTACGTTATACTGAAAAATTAGAGCGTTGATATTTAAATAAAAGCACCGATTAATATGTTTATGATAATCATATGATAAAACTTGTTACAATTCTGCAACAAACTTGCTATTTGCTATTAATCCATGAATACGAGAACAAGATTCATTCAAACATAATGTGATTCAAACATTATCCGGCTTTAAAAAGTTGAATTGAAAACTGTTCCTTTCTAATGAAATTATGAAGTCATCAAAGAATGTATCCATCATACGATAAATCTTTGATGGTTTTGTTGTATAAAAATTGCAAACACGTTTATATATTTATATATTTTTTCAATTTATATATTTTTAAACTCTTCGAATTTTTTTTTGGTGATTAAGAAAATTAACAAATATTACAACAAAAAAAGAGATTTATAAACTTTCGGATAAATAAAAAGTTTCTCGATATTTGATTCTTATTATTCTAATTTTTAATAACGATTAAGTTTATTTTATCTTTCGAAACAAAATTGTAGTCACTATATACTATTTTTAAACAGACTATCGACAATCTCTAAAACGTTTGTTGAATTTTTAATTTTACTTTCGAACGTATCGCCATATGTGTTCAGACACAATCAAATATTGACACTACAGTTAGAATTTCACAGCTGCGAATAATTTGACTGCTTCGTTCGGTTCTTTAAATACTATCATATACTATCACATTTTTACTCATTTTTACATTTTTACTTTCGCATTTTTGATTTCATCGAAAAAAAAAAAAACGATGACGAAATTCATTCGTTCTTCGTCTGTTCAATTTTAATAACACTAAATACGAGTAATAGAAAAGTAAAATAGGAGAAAATTTTAATTTCTTATTAAAATTAAAAACTTATTTTGTAATCCGACATAAGAATTTATAAGAATTATTGAAAATTTATGATTCTTCGAAAATGCAGTTTTACGATTACATGACTGAATAATCAGTCAAATGACTGATACCGTTTAACGAAATATAACTGTAATGAAAAAACGTAATAACTTATGCAACTGATTTTCCCTCTTTTTTTATTAAATATGTTTTTAATGAGCTCCAGAATAATGGTGCTCTTTTTTCAAGGTTCATATTGCTCATTCCACGAAATATAATATTTTATTTCTTATTTCATTTTCGATCCAATTTTAAATTTGTAATTAACTATTTCCACGTACGATGTAATAATTATAATTTTTTTCAATTATTTCTTTTGAATTTTTTAGATCTAATATAATTTTACAATAATATTAATTCAATATTGATTAATAATAATCAATTTTTTTATTTATACAAATTCTTATTTAATAAATAAAAAATTCTTTTTTTCTAGATTATTTTTTTATATAAGAATTAAATGTAATTATGTTCTTTGGATGGCCATGTTAAGGAAATGATAGAATCTTTTATATATTTTATATATACGCTAATCTTAGGCATCTGGTGTAACTGATATAAAAAAATTCCTCTTCAATATGTTTTTTAAAATATTAGCTTTTTTACGCATCTTTCTTTTTCTTATTAACGTCATTCTCGATAAAAAGTTTCGTATATACTACTGATGTTAGTAAGTTTTCTTTTTGAACAAAGATAGACTTGTCATTTGGAAGAACGGCAATGTGCACGCGTACATTCGCGTGTGACTAAAACCAAATTAATATTATTTCGCAAGTGGTATCTAGAAATTTGAGATGGACGTTCCACGTCCACGCGATATAATCAAGTGAAAGCCTTTCAACGTCCAGAACAAATTTCTATTAGATGGTCGAAATATATTTTCACTAGCTAAGACAGTTGAAATTAGAGTCGAAAAAAATTTGTAGTCGCTTTCAATGTTGAAAGTTCCAACGATTTCAACTGTTATGACACACGAAGTCTGTATTTGTATATATATATATATATATATATATATATATTCATTAGCCATGAAAAAAGACTCACCACTTCGTGCCACTTATTAAATATTACTTAATATGGATGTTACTTAATATGAAAAAAAAAAAAAAATGCTGATTCAATTGCCTCTTGAAACCAATTCATTATTGTCGAATTTAATATCAAATTTCCAGTTAATTTACGTAACGTAAATTTCTTAACTATTCGATTGTTCGGAAGAAAGATTCGGCTTGTTACTATTTTAGTATTCTCTAAAATCGTACGGTTAATCCTATAAGATTCACTCATAATTCTTTTACAATTTTGCAATTGAGATAGGTGATGATTATTGAGCATGAGCTGGAGCGATACTTTCCTATTTTGACGAAACTTTATTTTCTCGATAAATTTAATTTATAAAATAAAATTTATAATATTTTGAATTCATTTCTATTATATGCGATTTCTTAAAAAAACAATTTTCCGATAGAATAAATATATTTCCGTCTATGAAACTTATTTTATAAGTTATTATATAAGAGATTAATCATTTTTTATCCATATAAGGAATAAATGATGGTTGTGTATTTGGAACATAAGAAAAAGCAATTTATTAATCGGAAAAAATGAAAAATGAAAAAAAAATGTAGAAATATTTTATAATAAAAACAATTATAGTAATATATCGAGAATTTTATATGTTGAATTTTATATATTGAAAGCATAGATAGCATTGAAAATAACGAGAATATTCCTTTTACGACTATTCAAAAACCGGCGCCGCCGTATCTTTTGCATCTGTCCGCCACGTGGATCAGGTTCGTGTTTAATGGCCCAATAGGGTATTTTAAACTTTCGAGTAGGTCCTGTTCTTGAACAGATTGTACCCTGCTGTAAAAGTGAGAGCAGTCATTGTTGATAGTAAAGTCAAAAATCTACCAAAAATATTGCGAAAAGTATTGATGGAATGGTAAGGTCTCTCCTAACATTTTAAAGATCTGGTGAAAGAAAATATACATTGTATGGA